CCGTTCTTTTAATAGCCATTGCGGAATATGTTTCTAAATTTTTAAAAAACTCAAAAACATTACTATACCTAGGGAAAAACATATACCTTTTTTCTGGGTCCTTTTTTCTTATTTCTTTTTAAATATCTGAATTTTAATAGAAATTTGATACACACAGTTTAGGGGCCTTTTTTATTATATCCATAATTTTTAAAAAAAAAACTGCAACAGGTCCCGGGGGGACGCCCCGGGGTAAAATTTCGAAAAGATTGTGAGTTTTACTAAAAAGATAGACAGCTTTCCTCTTATTACTTGCTTTCAAAATATCAGGTTTAAAATCAAAGGTTTTTTTCTTTTTACGTAAGTGGGATAAAATTATAGATTGCAAAAAGTGTACAGCGATATAAGAGTAAACCTTGTGACTTTTGAGTTGTAGGTTATACAATTCAAAAGTTTGTAGGTTGTAAGTGACTACTGGTGGTCACTTACTATTAGGACCTATCTGTCGTTTATTTATTTACTTCAAAATTTCAAATAGTAAATCAAAAAACCAAATAGTAAAATTGTTAATGGGGATCGAGTTGTTTTGTACTTACTTGCGTGAACCAAAACTATACAATTTAGTGATGGCCCTGTTATCAGTAACACTTCATTACAAGCTTTTTGAAACAGCATAAAATGGCATCACAATCGGAATTACCTCACGCACGAAGATCAAAGACATAGATTAAAATGAATGAGTACGGGTTTATTTCCTGTAAAAATTAAGAATTACTTTCTAATTAAATATTTTTCCAATATGTACATTTACCTTTCCTTTTTTTTTATTTACCTTTATTATAAGCGAACTGAATTGTGTCATAAAAATATATATGTAAAAGAAAGCGACTTTCACTGTGTATAAAATACATATCTGAAAAGCAATCACTTAACGATAAACAATATTACATTAATTCACTAAAGTTTGGAAGATAATATTAAAACGGTTTTTATTCGTGTGATGACACAAATGATAGTTACATTTCTAAATTAAATTTCTGAATTTATGTTATATCAGGCGTCGATTAGGTCACGGGCCGCCAGAGAGCAGGCTTCTCTGCTGGCACGTTAGGGCTGCGTTAGAGATTAAGGTGTCGGACTGATCGCAAATAGACGTTATCGATTTGCGGGGGAATGCTTGTGGTTATGGCGGATAGGGACAGATAGGCGTGGAATCGATTCGGGGAGGACCTTAAAATCACATGGTCCGAGTGTTCCCCCTACGGGCAGACTCAGGCGACAAAATTATTAGTCAATAGTTTTTGTACAAATTGAGCATTTGTTTGCTGGGTATAGTTATGCCGAACTCAGACACAGAAAATTATTTCTAAATAAAATAAATGCCGTACAATAGAATGATAAACTAAATACTAACTAAATTGATAAATAATTAATTTTGACTGTCATGAGAGTTGTGTGGAAGGTGTGTGTGTGTGCATTCATGTTTACACGCATTACGTAGGCTGTAACCGCAACACGAACAACAAGCCCGCAGGTCTTGGCACATTCGCCATATATATATGGACCCACCTTTAAGCAATTCTTTCGTTGCTTTTACCGAGTGATTGAGGTTTACCCGAGCCCTCACCTACGACCCCAGATTCCAGGGAGCCCAAAAACTTCGATCCCTGATTCTGGGAGTCCAGTGTCTTAGGGCGGCAAACGCATTTAATTTGGAGGTGTCCATTTTTGACAGTAATTTATTTATCATGAGGCGACGAGCGTGGAAAGAACAAAAACACGGGTATAAAAATTTAAGGGCCCACTTTCTATAAAAATTATATTACAGTAAATTCGGTTATAAAACAGGAAATTAAGGAACAAAGCTTTTTAAACCATATATTACCAACTATTCAGTGACTTTTTTTAAAGTTATTTAATTTTATATATAATATTGACCATACAAATAATAGGTCTTTACCTATGAAATTGCCGTTTTGTATGCAATAAGTGAAAGTACTTATTTTTTCAAACTTTTTTATGTCTGTTATTCGAAGTAATCCCCCATGCAATCGACGCATCTTTCCCAACGTATGGCAGTTTATTGATGCCCTTCTTGTAAAAATCAGTGGACGGGAGGCAAAAAAACTCTTCAAAGGCATTTTTTACTGCCTCTCGGGAATTGAATTTTTTACCCACTAAAAAGTTGTCTAAATTTTGGAAAAAGTAATAGCCGGTAGGTGCAAGGTCTGGTGGTCACATTTGCAACCAGCTTTGGTCAATCGGTCGTCCCCAATGCTCCTTCACGACAAAAGCGTGACCCCATACTGCGCAACAGACAGTCTCTAAGGCCAAGAGCTGGGTTGGAAAACTCTCCCTCATCCGCCATACTCACCAGACCTTGCACCTACCGACTATTACTTTTTTCCAAAATTTAGACAACTTTTTAGTGGGTGTAAAAAAAATTTAATTCCGAGAGTCAGTACAAAAAAACCTTTAAGAGTTTGTTGCCCCCCGTCCAGCTGATTTTTACAAGAAGGGCATCAATAAACTGCCAATGCTTGGCAAAGATGCGTCGATTGCATGGGTGATTATTCGAATAACAGAAATAAAAAAGTTTGAAAAAAATAAGTACTTTCACTATTGCATACAAAACGGCAATTTCATAGGTAAAGACCTAATATATACTAACTATAAAAAAAATGTAAAATTTAAAGTTTAAAACTAATAATTTAATTTTGAATCATTTACACCACCCACTTCCTTTACCTGACTAAAACGATCTGAGGGAAAGTATGCTCACTACATAACTGAAACGTTCCACTGAATGTGAGCCACTATAACAATTCTGTTGAGAATAGATCAATTGACGAACCTCTTTTCTATAACCTCATGTGTGACAGCGTCAAAACGAAAATAGAATAAAAAAGAAAAAAGAAAAAGAGATGAATGTGTTTTAAATTGTTTTCTTTATTCTGTTCAAAGTATTGTATACACATTTTTTAGTTGAAAGCACTCTTGAATCTTAGTTTATTACATAAAACAAACCCACCGAAATTTACAACTTTTTATGGGCCCAGGGCAGCTGTGAAAGGGTTTTGTTGGAAGCAAGGCCGGGAAAAGTGACCGAAAAGAAGTCAAGATGAGCAGTCATCGCACAGCAAGTCAATGTTGAGGAACGTGCACGCAAGTCGCTTTAAGTCAGAAAATCGCCACGAAAGTTTGTAAATTCATTTTGTTTATTTAAAAGTTGTCAGAAGTCAACTAATGTAAGCAAAATGGATACTGTAAAATCTCAGTTGGAGATGCTAAGTGAAGATAGTCAGGGAAATGTCAATTTCATTCATGGCGATTTAAACTAAACTGCACTAAAGAATAAAGACCTGTATGACATTGTGACAGGCGTGAAAGTCGAACCAGCAGATGCTGTGTCAGAAGGAAAGGTTTCAGTTTGGGATAAAGAAGGATGTCGAAGCTCAAACATTGACGGGGTTTAAAATGTAAACAGAAAGGGATAGCGAACAAAATTGCAAACTGTAAAACTGCCAAAGACAGTTGGACAAATTAGTTACTTTATATGGCACAAAGACTGATGTAAACTTTAGAAACGTCTCGAATTAAATTTTTTACCTTTGAGTATGATGAGTATGATGAAAGCAAGTCAGCAGTAGAGAATTTTTATGGAGATTATGGATTTGGCTGAAGAAGGTCGACTGAAATGATCCTATGAGAAAAAAGTGGATCATGACAAAGATCTTGACTGTCTTACCACCAAAATTGGCGCATTTCAGAAACATCATGGAACAACGTGACCGGACCTACAAAGAACTTAGATACTCTCATTGAACATTTAAGGCTTGAAGACGAGCAATTTAAGAAATCGACGACAAACGCAGAGAGTAGTCCCAGCAACGCTCTCATGAAAAGGGACGTGTGAAACAAGTACAGTCATTCAAGCAAGCAGGACCAGTCACAGCTCGCATGTTACAAATGTGAGAAGAAAGGTCAGTAATCAAGGAGTGCAGAGGAAAGCCATGTCAGAAATACATCGAGTACTGCAAAGAAATATCATGTAAAAAATTGTAAGCAGAAAGGACTTTTCGCAAAGGACTGTCCATTCAGAGAAGAAGGAAATAAGTCAGCAAATGGAATACCAATCAAGAAGGCTTTTTTTGACCACAACACTCTCGACAGTGGACAACGACATCTCGAAGGACAGGGAAAATTTCATGTATAAAAGACTGTGGAGCCAGCCAACACTTGACGTCTCATCGAGAATGGTTTGTACAGCTGATGAACTGGACGAGTCCATGCCAATTGTGATTGGAGACGCAACCAGACTAGATGGCGTTGCAGTCGGGAACATCGAAATGGAGGCTTTGATGGTCAAAAGTGGTATCCAGTGGTACTTGAAGATGTGATCTACGTACCAAATCTTTACTTTAATCTTTTCTCAGTAAGTCAGATGCTTGACAAGGGATATGTATAGAAGGCAAATGTAAAGAAGTCGACATTTTACAGTCGGGATAGCAGGAGATTGTGGCAATAGCAAGGCGCAAAAGGAAATCTTTTCAAAATGACGCTCAGGAGAGAAGAAGTGACAAGTTGATGGTTCAGTCGATCAAAGTATGGCATGAAAGACTCGCCCATCAAAAACCGGAAGTATGTGAGGGACATACTGAAAAGAAAAGGTATCAAGTATGTGATGACTGGAATAATTATGTGTGCACGGGGTGCTCATATGGGAAAAACAACACGATCCTCACACCCGAACAACCCCAAGACAGCCCAGCAGCCATTAGAAACTTGGCATGTTGACACCGGCGAGATGAACATCCGATCTCTAGGAGGATCAAAGTATTGCTCATGTTGAAAGATGATTTCACCCACTACCGAACTGTTACTTTATGAAGACGAAAAGTGAAGGCCCAGCGAAGATTGAAAGCTATCTAAGACTTGTGAGAAAATCAACTGGGAAGAAGAGTGAAAAGTCTGAGATCTGATACTGCACGGAATTGAAAAATGCAAAAAAGAAAGAGCTGATGGACAAGTTGGGAATCTTTCATACCTTTACGAATGTAGATACACCAGAACAAAATGGAAGGGTCGAAAGAGAGATGAGAAAGATTGTCGAGGCAGCCAAGGCAGAGATACAAGCAGATTGTTTGGATGAGAGACTATGGGCAGAGGCAATGAACCACGCGATTTTGCACGATCAACCAGACAGGAACCAGCAAACGTACCAGGGAAAAGTCCGGCAGAAACCCATGGTTTGGAAGAAAAATGAAAATTTAGAAACTGCGACCTTTTTTATGTGAATGTTATGTGCTGACTCAAGCACAGAAGAGAGGTAAGATAAATAGAAAAATCAGAAAAGGGAATTCGGTTGGCTATGACATCGATTCGCCATGTTAACAGGACTTATATGAAAGAGAAGAGAGAAGTAGTCACTTCAGACAATGTAATCTTCGACGAAGAAAAGATAGACAGAGGCAAGGTACTGAACTGAGACATCGACAACAGAGGGCACACCTGAGAAGCAAGAAGAAAGCAGCAGGTGAGTCAGACGAAGAAGAGGAAAATGGACAACAGGAGAAAAATGCTGAGGAGACTAATAACAAAGAAAAAAGGGGTAAAACCGCCAGAAGAGCCAGGAAGAACAATTTTGCGAGATCGTCGAACTTTGCAACCGCGACTGAGACTGAAAGACTGCGTACTTGAACTCCAGCGTGGAGGAACGAGCGCAAAAGTAGCCATGATTGGTGAAAACGGAAGACATCCCGGTGAGTGAAGCACTCAAAGATGAGAAGTGGAAACAAGCAATGCAGGAGGAGAACGACTCGGTTAATGGAAATGAAAAATTGGGAACTGCTGAACTATCCAGAAGGAGTGACACCGATCACTTGTCGTTGGGTACTTCGACAGAAGGCAGACGGAAAATACAAGGCCAAAACTCGTAGCAAGAAGATTTGAACAGAAGAAAGGAGTGGACTACGCGGAAACATTCAGCCCAGTAGCCCGCCATGAATCGATTCGACTACTTTTTGAGTCATGCAGCGTCAGAGAAAATGAAGTTGGTATCGTTCGATGTGAAGAAAGGGGATTCTTGTATGGAAACCTGGAGCAAGTTATTTATATGAACCAGCCTGAAGGGTTCGACGATGGATCAAGGAAAAGTTTGCAAGTTGGATAAGAGTCTTTACGGCTCAAACAAGCTCAGAGGATGTGGAACGAGAGGGTCACCACACACTTTAAAAATTAAGATAGGCCTGATCAACACTGATAAACGACCCATGTATTTACTTATAACAAGGACAAGAGCATTATGCTCTCACTATTCGTGGATGATGGTTTGATAGCTGGTAAGGATGAAAAAAAAAATATACAGATCTTGGGCGATAAACAAGGAATTTCAGATCACATACAGCAAGAAAGCACAGAATAATGTACGTACTTGGGCATGGAAATCAAGATGACAAGGATGGTATCTTCGTGAATCAGCCTCGAACACTGAAAAGATCTTGAAAAAAATGAAACTCGAACAGTGCAACCCGCATCAAAACCCATTGAGCAAGGGAATGATCACCAAGAAGACAGACTTCAAGAATGACGAGGCACTACCGGCAAAACAACAACTATTGTGAGGCGATATGGAGTTTTTTGTACTTAGCTACAATCACTCGCCCGGGACATCAGCTTCGCCGTGAACTATCTCAGTCGATTCAACGATCAACACTGTGTATTGCAACACGTCGAGAGCAGCAAGCATTGCAGACATTCCACTAAGCCACTCAACCGAAGAGTTTTGAGTGCTACGTTGTAAATGATCAAGGACAAGTTTTGACAATTGATCAATTGACGAACCTTTTTTCTACAACCTCATGTGTGACAGCTTTCAAAACGAAAATAGAATAGAAAAGTAAAAAGCAAAAGAGATGAATGGTTTTAAAAATTTTTTTCTTTATTCTGTTCAAAGTATTGTATACACATTTTTTATGTTGAAAGCACTCTTGAATCTTAGTTTATTTTGCTACAACAAACCCAACCCACTGAAAATTTACAAACAAATTCTAAGCATAGTTTCTCATACTAGAAGTAGAAATAGGTATACTTGTTTACAATTTTTTTTCAGAAGAAAGTTTTATTTTGTTTTTATTTCACGGACAGTTAATTTATTTTTAAAATAGCAAACTTTTAAATAAAACTATTTAAAACAATGTCCCAGTAGTGACCGCTGTGGGTGTCGTAAGAGCTGACCAAAGGGAGCTAACTCTGTAAACAACAGGACGCAAAGACAAGAAAAAAATTGAAAACAAACCCTGCATTAACCCGTTTAATCAGCGTGATATCGTTTGGCCAAAATCTCCTTTCTATAGTCCAGCCGCTCAAAAAATGCGTTTTGACACCTGTCAATTCGTCATGACTGGTGATGTACAATAAATAACATTGATAATTTTAGTAACGTTATTTTTTGCATTATTATGCATATTTATTCAATTTAATTATTTTATTATTATTTAATTTGTTATTTTTATAGGCATTATATTTCCATATATTTAATAAATATTCACGATGTAAATAAATTTTTAAAAGAATCAATTAATTGAATTGAATCGTAAATTTCTAAATGTAACGAAGGGAATAAAAATAAAATGCTTTATTTATTGGAAAATGTATATTTTGAAATACATAGTTTTAAGCCCTTTAACAATGAAGACTATGTCAAACAATTTAATCTTCCGATTCGCTTGAGGAGGTCGCTGTCATCTTCACTAACGTGTATAATCATATTATTGTCAATCATAGTAAACTATACGGATATCGCGGTAAGTCATCAAATATAATCTTTTTAGTTTCAACCACCTTCATCCAGTCATCTCTTGTGACTTTTTCGCATGCATCTTTTAAAAGCATCTTCATCTTTTTACGCCTTTAGGGTGGAGAAGTATTATGACGGGCTGTAAAAACCTTTAATTGACCCCTAATTAGCTCAATGGCGTTGTACTGGCAGTGGTAAAGAGGGAATTCGGAGAACGCGATGACCGTACTCCAGAGCCAACTCATCTATTTCATATCAAAAAATTGTCAGCTTATGGTCATGACTAATTTCATCAGCTCTGCTTTTAGCATTACCATATTTGCGTCAATGCCACTTTTTTGCAGCCAAGCCATCAATTCCTCTTTTCTATTAGCTTGGGTAGGTACTTTATTTTTTGCAAACCCAATCCTAAGGGGCGTTTTTTCCATTAAATTATAACTGAAGGCTTTGGCAGGACAGTAGCAACACATCCTGGAACCACTCCATAAATGAAGCCGCATTCATTTCTTTTTGATAGTCAGTAGTGGTTTTTGACTCAAATGCCAATAAACCGTTTTCCATGAAATCTACTTCGCAAAAACCAGCGTGGCATATTATAAGTCTGCTCCTTTACCCATTGGCACTTTTGACGTTGACGCTTGGTGTCATCTGTCCAAGAACGAGAAATCGTGTGATTGGCGTTCAGCCATGTCTCGTCGATGAAAAACGACATTGTCCCAATTATCGATTTTTGTCGCTTCTCTTAAAAAAGTAATTATTTTTAAAATAAGTCATTTCTTTCTAAGAGAATTTTCCTTTTGTCCGTCAAAATTTTAGATGCTGCTTTCAAAGATGCTAGAATTTATCATTCCTGGAATAATAACCAACATATGATTCCTTATTGCATCGACGTTCAAATCTATCAATGTCTGTTGCAGGTTTTAGTTCTGCGTTTCTTTTTTGGTGTTCTTAAAATATTTGCTTCCATGCCAGATGAGCCGAACTTTACCTTATTAATATTTGCTATCGTCCGTTTGCTCACTCCAAGTGCCTGAGAAATGCGTTCTTGGACCTGGTCGACAGGAATTAAAGTTCGGCCATTTTGTCTTTCACGCTCAAAGTAATATTGTAGCTTGATAATTAGTTCACGAGTTTCACTTTTCAATGTTTGGCCGCGTTTTGGCATTGTTATTATACACTAAAAGTCCAGATTAGAGCAGAGGTCAGTATGTCAAGAAGAACAGTCCAAAATAAACAAGAATAACAGCCACGACAAAATACACAACGAGAAACACTGGAGAACGTAGTCTAGGCGGTGAGAGACGACTGTTTTTAAATGTCACAAAATGGCGGCCCCCACAACGCTATTTTGGGTTGCCATTTTTTACCAGAAATATAAAGTAGTGGGTAATTTTATTATCAATGATTTTTTAAGTTCATCTGACTGATAGTAGGACACTAATTTTCTTAAGTTTTGTTTGGGCGTACCTTTATTATATTATTAACTTTATTAAGTACTAAGTACATTATATGTATATTATAAAATTATAACGTTTTATTTTATATTATACCGACAGAATATATTAAGACTACAAAAATATTTGATTACAATTGCTCGTTATTTTGCCACATCACTACAAAAACAAACAGTTGACATAACCTTGAAACAGCGCCGTTTGACGTGGTTTGACTTTTAAAAGCTATTGTTTTTATATTTGTTTAATAAAGTAATTGTAATAATTTTAGCCCAAAATTAATACATTTATTGTTAAGTAAGTTGCCATAATTATTCGAATTTTAATGTTATCACTCGTTAATAAGGTAAATAAAAGATATTTAAAATTTGCCGTAAATTGTACGCCAGTTCAAAGTTACATCGCCCAGTCGATCACGATCTGTCAGAAACGCATTCTTTGAGCGGCTGGACTTTAGGAAGAGGCTTTTGTCCAGCAATAGGCTATTAAAGGCTGTTGATGATGATGATATTTCAACAAACAGATTAGTTTCAAACTATTATAAAAATATTTACATAATAATTGAAACATGCTGACAGCTGCTTGCTACATCTACTAAATATTCGTACAACTCAGCCCATTGTGTTAGCTTCTCAATCAGTATTGAATGACAGTATTCATCATTGTTT